CTCCTGCTTATTCCCCATGCTGCGCGCATTCTGTATATATTCTTCAAGATAACGATCTGGAATGGATTTATATTTATCAGTCTTACAGTAGTACAAAACAGATGATTTTTTAAAATCTTTTTTAAGATCCTGGGGAATTTTAACAAGATTATAATCACAGGTGAAGTGATGCTGGAGCTTCAGTTAGCAACCTAAAAAGTTGTGCATTAGCCTCACAAAAATTTAATTCTATGTGGTCTGATTTTACTGGATTTCTACATGTATTATTCTTCTATGGGAACCAAGCCACTCTGGTTATCAATGATCCACCATCTCCTCATCTTGGTAACGATACCAAGTCTGCAGGCAGCTTCATAGGTGCCCTGAGTGAAGGTAACTTCAGAGGCCTTCAGCTTCAAGAAGCCAAAGCATTAGGGTGCTGTTCTCTGCCACTACTGGCTTCACAGCTGGGAGGTTTTCAGTTTTGTGTTGCTGATTTAAAACAAGAGTTCAAAAATTTGCCACTTGATGGCACCAAAAAAAAGAAGAGGAAATAATCTGTGGGACAGATGCGTGGCTGACTGCATGTGCAGATGATGGTAGTGTCAGTGGCTCTTATAAAGTACTAATATACCAACTCCATAACTTTATCTTCATTTCAAATTTGTGATTCATATTGGACCAGACCACGGACTTTCCTTCTTTTTACTTATTTAATGATCTCTATACAGAATTTCCCAGGTTTTTTGGTCTACCATAAAGCCTGTAGACCGCTGAGATGTCACACTTGTCGTGGTATGGCACCTGACCCTTCTTCCCCTCGCTCTTTCCACAGAGGATAAGTACGGCGAGCGGCGACGGGCGGCATTACTGCTACCCACACTTTACGTGTGCAGTGGACACAGAAAATATCCGCAGAGTGTTCAACGACTGTCGGGACATCATTCAGAGGATGCACCTCCGCCAGTACGAACTCTTGTGAGGGGGATCACCGTGGAACCTGTGGTTTTAAATCCTTTGCTCCTTACTCTTTCTCTTGATGCTACCCCACACAGGGTGGAAGAATATACTATAGAAATGTCAGTCTCTTCACTTTGTTTAATTATTTAACCTTAAAGCTGATTTGAAGCAAGTTTGGGTTGTTTCTCCTTCATGCTTCTTGGGACTATTTTCGTGCTTTATTTTGACATGCCACTTCTTCGTCATTCCACTAAGCCCTTCGGCTACCTCTGTTCCCGTAGGTTTTGTTTCTTTAACTGCACGCGACCTGCTAAATTTTTTCCAGCAGGTTAACGTCAGTGCAAACTGGTATGTCAGCTGGATGACACTAAAGTCATGCCTATCCCTCTGTGTGGGTTTCCTTTTTAACATGACATTGAAGAGTACTTGATGGGTGAGAAAAAAAGATTAATGCACTTTGTATCAGGTTATTAAATACTGTTGAGGAAGTAGACACACAATGTAGCAGCACCACAATATTTATTACTCTGTCACAGTTTTTAGCATTTCTGAGTTGCAGGTCAACTGATAAAGTGACCTCCTCTTTTAAGCCGTTACTGGCACAGGAAGTAGAGTAGATACGAGAGGAATAGTGAAGACAAAGCAGTTTTTCTGGGGTTTTGGAGCCGAGAGTCTCTGCACACCTCAGGCATTTGAATTACAGCTACTTTTCAGCCTGTTGCATCTAGGCAGAAAATCGACCACCCTCACTTACGTTATTTGTGCTGTCCACAAATGATCCTTTCAGTTCTGATCATTCTTGGACAACGGTCCTCTCCCTATATATATTTTTTTGTTTTACTGCTGGTTTATTATATTGTACAGACTGTAAAATGTAATATTATTTTGTACAACTTTATTGAAGAAAAATACTTGTAGAAGATCTTTGTGCCTTGATTATGGCTGTACCTGTAAAATGAGCTAAGATGTAAGTATGTTTTTGATTGCGCTGTACAGCTTGATGTCAACCTTACCTGCAGCAGTGACTGGAGGTAAGAACTTTATCTGTAGAGTTTAGGGGTTTTTTTCTGGTTTATATAAAAATGCTCTTTAGTATAAAAATTATAAATTATGCAAATTAACCACTTACCTTTCCAAGTAAGGTATTACAGTCACCGGATGTTGCAGCAAACATGCCTTTCTCTTTTGAAGTCTCAGCTTTAAAACATTGGAATTCATTCAAGTGTCCAAATTGCAACCTGGTGTTGTTTTAATGGGAACCAAGGATTCTTTTCTTTTTTTCCTTTCTCTTTAGAAAACATGTTGGGTAATTCTTTGGTCATTCATAGAACTTCACAATTGCACAGACCGATTGTGAATGTGTCAAGCACCATTATATAGAGCTCTTCAATCTTTGTACCAACAGCGGCTTTCATTGTGCAAGTAAATAGCGAGAAAGAAGAAAAAAACAAACAAAAAGGTGTATAAACCCTTGTGTCTGGCCTAAGAGAATTACAAGATGACATTTTTATTTCTCTTTTAATAAAGAGACACATTAGAAAATGGTTTTATTTTAAATATTGTAGAATCAAAATGTGTGAATATTTCTCAAACTTGAATAATTTATGCAAATGACATTCTCAAAACAAGTTGTGGTACAGTACAATATATAAAAAGCAAGAATTGCTGTAGCAATAAGGCATGTCCTTTTTAGTAACTATAACACTGCTTTATATTTTATACATAGGTGTTTTATGTCTGTGACTATATACTTTTCCTGTGTCCAAGATAACCTGTACAAATGTCTAAAATTACAGTTGCAATAACAGAAACCTAGAGAGGTGTTAGACTACATTACTTTATAGAGTGTTTCATCACACTTTGGGCCATTCCCCCTACTTCATTTTAAATTTAGGGAGAGATAAAGAGCTAACACATGCCCCATATTGGCATATAAAGCTGCAGATTTGAGTAATTTTTTACTGTAAGCATCATCATTATTATTAGTCATAAACCCAATCTCATTTTTTTAAATTCAGACTACAGACAAATTGAGAACTTCTTTCTATTTGATGATAAAGAATCCCATTTTAGATACTATAATATGACCATTTTCTCTTCCCAGAAATGTGCATACTTTCATATCTCTATGTCCAATTTAATCATCAGCTGTTCCCCAGAAAGTGAAAGGCTGCATGGAGTATGCTAATACTAAACAAAACGCCCAAATGCAAAGATTCTCTCACTCCCCACGCCAAAGAAAATAACAGTGCTAATAACAAAATACGAGTTTTTTTAATTTAAAAACAACCCCAAGCCCAGAAGTTCAGGTCAGAACATCAGCAGGATGGTCCTGGTGTGCATCGTCCCTCTGGGGCGGGCGGGGAGAAGCGGCAGCTTTGTCACCTCTTCCCTGGCACCCAGCACGCGAAGACGCAGAGCTCAGATCTTACGTTCTCTGTGCTCTGTGGTGCGCTGCAGTCCGGCCTCATGGTTCACAATGGGATGCTACGGCCACTGACTGAACCTGGCAGCCCTGCAGGAATCCAAAATAACGCGCATTCCTGTCCCTGTCTGTCCGTAGAGTGAGGGCCAAGGCATAGGATAATGTTACTGCAGCTGTATTTGACCTTCCTTCTTGCAGAAGATCGGCAACTGGAGGGCCCCTCACCACACAGATCTCCGGGATGCAATAGGGCCCTTTTTTTTTTTTTTTTTTAAGCTCATCATAGCACATGTTTTTAAAAATAGCAGCTTGAGGTGTCACCCTAATTTTTCTTTCAAGCAGGTTTCAAGTGTGTATCAGCAAACTGGATCCATGAGCTTCTTCCCGTTGTTGTCTAGCAGACGATAACTGCAAATTGTAGTCAGCTACCAATTCCATGTGTCAGGAACCAGATTTCTCTTCCCAAACCACAGTCCCTTAATTATGACATCCCAAAAATGTTACGGAAATCCACATCTCTTAGTGCTGATGTACCTAGTTTCTGCCTGACCCTAACGAACAGAAGTAAGACATTAGAAGGGCCACGCAGCAATAAAACAGAGAAACGTTTCCAGTTTGCAGGACTGAGCCTCCACCAGGGTAAAACACTAGTGCAGATAAGTGATGAGGCTATAGGATTTACATAATGTACAGTTACACTTTTAATATACATATTTGATACAAAAAATTATAGCAGGAAAAGGACTCATTTGATTGTAGAATACAGTATTTTTGTACAGCATGAAACGTTCATTTCAGTTAATTATTTATCCTGTAGTAGTCATATCAGCTGTATAGGACTTCTATGGTATGTGTAAATGCAACCTGCCTTCAGACTAGCAATCAAATTAGGTCATTTGCTGGCATGAATATAGTCTGATGTTTGACTGTTCTCAGCTTTGGTATTTCAGTGACTGAATGCAGATGTCTGGCTCTTCATACTGCTTTATGCTTACTGATTAAACGCTGAGCAAAATAAAATGGTGGAGTGAGAAGCTGAAAATGAGCTAGTATCAGGATTACAAGCAGAGCACCTGCTGCACAGTAGATAGTAAAGACTCTGCTCTCATACGGAAGGAAGCATTTTTGGAGGGAGAAGTCAGTTGGTGTCATGCTGCCCTGGAAAAGAAACAAAGAGACTGTCACTTTGCTGTTGCAGGGGGTGCTGAATCAGGAGTAAACACCATGGCTGTCAGAGCTCCCATTTCTAATTTCTGTGTTGCGTGGCAAGGGTTGGGGCCAGTTTCCTAGTACCAGTGCCTTCTCCAGGGGCTGAAGAGCCCGTACCTTGCAGTGCTGGGCACTAACTGGAATAGTCACCAGGCCAACATTAGCCCAGAGGCCAATCCTCCCTGTATTCCATCTAGCACAAATAGAGAGCTGGGCTCCTCATCCGAGCTGCCTTCAAGAGAGGCCTAACTTTAGCTGCTGTAAATCTACCTGGAAGGAGCCTTCCCAGGCTAAAGTTAGGTTTTTGTGAATGTGCCCCTTCCTCCCCCCCAAGCCCACCTCCTCCTACCCAGTACATGCTGCAAAAAACACGTTGGCTAATCCAAATTCCAAACAACAAAGAACTCCACTGGGTTTTGGCTTGACTTTGCAGTTCAAAGTTTACAACAGACTGAGGCTGAGGTGAAACAGTAGCGAAGACGATGCAAGTCTAATTAGCCAACCTCTTGTTTTGCAGTGAAGATGCGCTGTCTGGCGTGTGCAGAGAGCAGGTGTAGTTTGAAGGCAGCTACTCTCAGGAACATGGAATAAACAGAACTACTCTCAACAAGAAATACTAACAGTTGCAGAAAATGAATTTAAGAGTTTGGGGTTATCTGTGTATTAAGCAGCCTAAACTCAACAGCAGTAAAAACACGTGAAAGATTCGTCCCCTGAGTCACAGACTACTCCGTAAACAGATTGTAGGTTTTGCTTCTTACTCCAAGTTTTTAGGAGTTCTGTTTTATTTTTGAACTGGGGAACTAATTGATTTACCTCTAAGGATATACTCAGCACTGGAACTGCCTGCGAGAGCATAACCAACACACTGTACAAAATGTGAATGGGAAACCAGGAGGCAGCCTCTTGGCACGGGACAAACCTTTTCACCGTGTGCCGTGGCTGATGCACAAGTTTGAAAACCACCATCACCACGCAAAGAGTTTGAGGTGGATACGGTCTCGTTTTCAGAGGTGGTAAACCAAGCAAGCCAACCTAGTCTTTCTACTGTTCAGTGCACAATACTGATGATTTTTACGAGTCAATAGTTTACAATGCACCCTCTTTATAAGAAAATGGCAGATGCTTGTACCCAGATGCTAATTGGACCTTGAAGAGCATTGCTTTGTACCACACCGAACGTGTGGCTCCCACAGCTGTACGTTATAAAGTGGATGCAGTGTACTGAGTGGGTTGGGTGGGTAGGCAATTTTTTTTATTTTTTTTTTGTTTTTACAGGTAGAATCAGTTTTAAAATATAGCTGACTGCCATGTTGATTTATTTATGAAAGTTATCTGACAAAAATAAAAAAAAAATTAAAACTTACCATGATGAAACTAGGGTTGTTTCTGTTCCTCCAACTGAACGACGGGACGCTGATTTCTGGAGTTTTCCCCGCGTGCAGCACTTCACAAGCACTGTGTGTATGGCCACTGAGAATCAAACGGGGATGAAACCACCAGAGCAGCTACAATACAAAATGGTAAAGCACAAGAATTAAGTCATAAATAAAAAAGAAACTGAGCTTAAGACCCTTTTTGTTCTTCTGACAGAATTACATTATGGGAATTCTAATATTCTCACAAAGTATTTTGTGTAAACGCCTGTCTTCCAGTAAGACATGTCAATATTGTAATATTAATCATACCTGTTTGTTCATCATCCCAAAAACTGAATTTTTGGTCATACAGATGAGAAAAACAAAAGCAATAGCATGCTGTTGCCATCACAAATAGAAAAACCCTGGGTTTGGTAAAGCAATGTTTTCTTGTCTAAGGGAGAATCTCGTACTGCCAATCTTGAGTGAAGACATTTATGTAGAAGAAAACAACTACTGCCCATGAGATTTTCTGGGAATATGTCCTTGTAGATCCTAATTCAGCAAAAGCAGCGCTTTCAAAGTGTTGGGAAACAGTGGCTTTCTGCTAGGCTTGTCAGTAATCTACACCATACGTAAAGTACAAAATGCTAAATGGGAGGTAATGGCACTGCAGCAGGCGTAAGATTGCCAGGACTTCTGGCCTGTACCTGGGAAGCTTCAGCAGAAGCGAGGACACAATCATGATGATCCTCAGGGGAGCAGCTCTAACAAGGAGCCTCTCAAAGGCCTCATTAAAGTGGGAGCAGCTGTGGTTGGTTTGTCTCAGCTGACATCCTTTCCAAAATGTTTTAATCTGTATCTGTCTACACTCGCATCCCCCTCCCACCCACCAATACTCAGGTTCCTAACGTATCAAACCTTCTGTGATGCTTCTTGAGATAGGACATCGTACTTTTCTTGAAATGGGATGTTCTTCTCCTGTGGTGGGGCAGAGTCTTCCCCACTGCATTCAGCGTCACTCTTACGATAGAGAGGGTAATGCTGGAGCCATGCAAAGCAAGGGGCAGTTGTGAACGACCCGGCCTTTCCAGAACAATAATAAATACACTGAAAACACATCACCACCTTGCCTCACCCCCACCTCCAACACACCTGTAAAAGGATGGGCTCTGAAGCTGGAAGCTGTTCCACATCACTGCATCTTTTGCTGGAATGATTTGGTTTCTGTGAATAAAATCAATCCATAGATACTGTCTTCACCTACGTGCACCATAGGGGTGGGGAAGGGAATTAAACAATAGCAAGGTTTTGAGGGGTCAGGGCTTTTTGTTGTTGTTTTGTTTTTGCTAAAAGCAGTATCAGCTCAGAGTACGGTGTTTAAATACCGGCCACAGCATAAACTTTTAGGAGCTTCTACTGCAGATGGAAGGGGAAATTATTTCATTCCCCTTTTCATATATAGTGTAAATATGGGTGCTCTCTTTCTGAATGCAGAAAGCAACAGCAGAATCTCACTGCACAAACAAGGCAAAAGAGATTTAGGGCAGCCTGAGAGTGAGAGCGAGCAGTCAGAAGCAATTTTTCCACTGGGAGCTGGTTTCCTGATGGACTACCAGCCCAGTCAATCACGCTGCCTACCCTGCATCCAGGCAGCCTATGTGAAAGGGAAGAGGAATGAAATACAAGCAGCAATTGGATTTGATTAAAAAATGCTACAATTAAAATATGACCAGGCTATGGAGACAGGACTCCAGTAGAATCAGAAAACGGAAAGAATATAAACCACCACAACAATGTGCATAACCATAAATGCAGGGGTTGTTATGTATCTTAAGTCAAAGGGAGGGTTACAGAACTGCCGTTCCTTGGAACAGAGGAAATGACACCCTCTGTTTGTTGGCCGCACTGACAAGGAAGTTAAAACTATTAACACAGAGCAACACAGTTAATAGTTAAGTCAAAATGATAAGGCAAATGAGGAGAAAGATTTGCTAACAAGTCGCAATGTGAATTGGAAGCAAATTTTTTCAGGAGAGTCTTAGCTATGTCCTGACTTGCTGCAGTCTCGGTATTCCCACTGCAGCAGCCAAGTTGCTGGCTATAACCAGATCTTTAACAATCTCTTACCTGCTGGGAGCAATTCAGTTTGTGAGAAAGCGCCAGGAGCTTTGCCTCTGAGGCACGGCAGACAGCACAGCCATCACCCTCCATGGCTACGCTGTTCACCACGACAAAGCTGGGAAATACAGGGAGTAGGCAACAAGAAGGGGAGTGGGGAGGACAGGGAAGCATTTACTATTCATGTACATGTGTGGGATCAATTTTATTTTACCAAATGCAAGTGTTCCAAAGTCGGACATGGCTCAACCAAACAGCAGAAGGCAACAGCTTCTGCAATGACGAACTATAAACCCTCTGTTTGAGTATCCCTATTGCAGCTGCTTCTCTGTTTGGTAGGCTGCTTTATAACCAGCTGTTAATTAGGTTGCACAATGTGCTGTGTGCTGTGCTTCATGTTTGCACTTCAAGATTTTTTTTCTTAATATTATAACAGATACTGAAGTGGTATTCTAGGGGGATGTTAGAAGCCCCCTAAGCTGAATTCTGAGGGGAAGGAGAACTTGCTTCTCTCCCCACACACATTTCAGACCTCAGAGACATAACTTCAGACATTCAGGTTCTTCAGAACAACGGAAAAGCAAAACAGCACCGCATTTGGCTGGCTACCCTGAACAAACTGACTTTTGTACTTTGTGGTCCCTCACACAGAAACCAGGATTTTATTTGTAATTAAAAAAAATATTTCCCTGTAGATTTGAAATCAACTTTGAACTTTTGCCAGAAGATTCATACTTGTTTAGTCACTCATTCAGGACTCAAGACATACGCTCAGTTCAAGTCAGTATCTTCTACAGACATAAATGGGCTGAATGTCTCCACTTAGGAGATACCAGTCAAAACAGCAACAACAAAAATAATTCTCTTTTATCAAATTAAGCTGCTTTTATATCATAGATTTATTATAAAATAGTTTATCCAGGAACATTTCACTAATAATGCAGCTCATGTCAGTTAATGAATATGATACATACAATCTGCAACTGCCTGCAAGAATTCTGCTGTGCTGTTTTGTCAAAGGAGATATTTTATCATGGAGATATTCCTTAATAACTATTTTTTAAAACAGCTGAAACATGTATCTAGAGGACCCCACATCTGCATGATAAACAATACTGAGTATTCATGAAGCTGATAGATCTTCCTAAAAAGGACACACCATTTCTAGACCTGTTCAGAATACTCTTTAACATTTGCTTAATTACAGGAACCAGTATAAGCCTGCAGGTTTTGAATTTTACACTTGCGTGAGTGATTCTAACCTGATGGCACATATGCCAAATGCAGAGTGGCAATGGGTCTTGCTGTCATATATCTGAGGTTTAAAGACAAATGCCTTACCACAAACCTGCTATTTATTGCTTTCCCTTGTCAGGTTTCTGCACAGAATCATAGACAGGTTTGGGTTGGAAGGGACCCTAAAGATCACCCAGTGCAACCCCCTGCCATGGGCAGGGACACCTCCCACCAGACCAGGTTGCTCAAAGCCCTGTCCAACCTGGCCTTAAAAGTAACAAAAGGGCACAGGGCAAACAGTTGCAGCCGCAGGCACGGCTGTGAGAACAAGCCCTGTAACAAGGTCTGCTTTCAGCCCAAATCAGTTTGTGAGTTATTACCCCACCCTGTGGAGAAAGTGTGAACGAGCAACTGCTCCTTTCTCAAATTCCTCAAACGAGTTAAGTTTTGCAGACTAAAAAAGTTATTAAAATTAATGAAACTCTTAACTTGTAAGCACAGAGGGGGTTTGTTTGTGTTTCTTTACTGAATCTTGTTCTGTTTACAGCCATGGGTCATTACCAGCTGCAAGGAAGTAAAAAGGCAAACCAGAGAATTTGATTCGGACTGTACAGTACTTTTCCATTTAAAAGGAAGCTGTTACAACTCACCTAGCTCAAAGTACAGCTTCCACTACGGGTTTGTACAAAGTATTTGATGTTTAACGTATCACAAGGTTTTAAAAAACATAGGCTCTAAGTTAAGCATTACCATACTATTTCATTAGAAACTCTACTTCCAGTTCTCAGTTTTCATTACTCAGGTCTGCAAGCTCACTAATCACTAATCTAAACATTGAAAAAAAATTAAATCTACTCACTTTATTCCTTTTCGAGTTATCAGCTTTCCTGAAGTAAAGTTGAAAACCTTTTCAAATCGATTTACCTTGTAAGTAGTCATTCTGTGCCACAGAGCAAAAATACAACTGAGGTAAGAAACTGGCATTGGAAATCACCTGAGACAGTTGCTTTACAGTTTGTAAACCATTCCTGCAGCTCCCTGCTCCATTATCAAGATCACACATCCATTCAGCAAACTTACGGATGCTCTGACACCCACAGCGCACTCTGTCCCGGTCACATCAGCGCAAGCAAAGCCACCCTCGACAAGTACAGCAGAGCGAGAGCACCCAGTTACTGTGTGCATGCCAGTGTTTCATTCTTGGCTCTTGCATGCTCCTTTCGCTGACAAGACTTACTCATAGTGAAACCCAATGTCGTGATTCCCAACGATAACCACCAGCTCAGTAGAAACTGGATGCTTAAACATTTTCCGAAATCTCCTGACATCATCTGCCCACGCCTGCATGAATAAAACAAATGCAGAAATTAATGCTGTTCAACAGTATCAAAGGGGACCACTGGTACATAATACCGAAGCACGCACACAGTGAGATGTTTACATTTTATAACTTTTATATGAGGGGGAAAGTGCCAAAATACGACCAAAAATGAAGGAGAATCACAACGTTTCAACCGATATCTAAAACACTAGAAATTCTACCAGTAGTACAATAGTAATATTAAAGCAAGCCTTGCATACCTAGTCTGCTTTCTTCTGCCATCCCTTCCCTTCAAGAAATCCTCTTTTTTTTTTTAAATAACAGAGCTGATGATGCCATACCTGAGGTGAGCTCCATTTTCCTTCATCAAAGACATCTCCCAGAATAAAAACAATATCTGGCTGCAGTAACCATAAGGCAGTTTGGAAAGATCTCTCCATTTGCCATTCCCTGAAAGGAAAATATGTACCCAGCCATCACTGCCTAACCCTGGATCCTCAACTCTGAATACACAAACACAGTCTGGCAGGACGGGAAGATGGCTCCTACAGACTGAAAGCGCTAATATGAAATTCAAATTAAATACTGAGAAATCAAGTTTAAGCACAGTAGCTGCATCTTACCTGGTGGATAATTCCACCACAATACAATCATGACCAACTCATGCAAGAAGTAATACCAGTTTGTTTCTTTTTATTTATTAGAATTCCATTAAAAAACAACAATTAACCAGAACAGTGAATTATTGCATGTGTTTTACTATGCTATTGTTTCTGCAGCAAGAGTTTATAATGTTTGTATCGTGGTAGAATTGGTACTTTCTTTGAGCATTCTGCTTTTTTTTTTGTTTGGACTAACAGAAACAACATGGCTTTGTAAGCAAAGACTGGATTATCTTTGTCTTTAAATGTGATTTTGCCACCTATTTTTCTACTACAGAGGCAAGCTTCTATCAGCTTCCTTATCTCTGCAGTTAAAGGTGTTGGCTATTGGGACATCCAAGTTATCTATCCGGCTCATTTTTAAGGCATTCTATAAAATAGTAACACATTGGAGAAGACTCACCTGACCCATCGAAAATGCTCAGGCACCTGCAGCCCCATACTACCCGAGCATTCAAGACTGCACTGCCTCAGCAGGTGCCATGCATTAACCTTTCCATGCTGGCTTATTAACCAGCGCAGATTCAAACAGGCAAGGCAGAGGCAGCACGCACTCTTCTTACAAGCACCACAACATTGGTTTTAAATGTTTGTCTCATTAGCTACTACTAAAAACTCGAAAAGCAGAATAGAAATTATTCAAAAAATTATTACCTTCTTAGCTTATCCAGCCAATGTCCTTTGATTTCACCAAGCAGGTGAGTATCAGCTAAAATCATGGCCTTTAGGACTGAAGTTGAAGTCTCTTTTTTACCCATGTGAGCTTCACCTTTCACTTCTGGCCATCGACATTGAAAAATTACCACATAATAAATTAAAAATTCACAAAATAGTAACACTGAGCTGACAAAGCACACAAGTTTCAG